ATGAGGAAAGAGAAGAGAGAGAAAGAGGAGAGGAGAAAGTGAAATCAGGAAACGAGGAAAGAGGAAGGAGGAAAGAGAAAGGAGGAAAGGAGGAGGAAAGAGAAATGAGGAGAGGCGCACTAGAGGGAGAAAGGAGGAGGAAAGAGAAATGAGGAAAGATAAAGAAGGAGAGGCGCACTAGAGGAAAAATCCGGATTTTAGGGTTTTTTTTGTTTTTTTTTTAAATTATAAATGTTTGGTTTTTTTTTAATTAATCACAACTTCCGACGGTTTCCCTCGGAAATCACAAGTTCCGACTGAAAATTCCGTCGGAACCTGTGATTTCCGAGGGAAATAATTCCGTCGAAACCCACTCCGAGGGAATATTCTGTCGTAACACATATATTCCGAGGGAAGACCAATTCGTCGGAACGATTACGACGGAATATTCCGTCGGTAGGGAACCTTTCCAACGAATTATTCCTACAAAGTCAATTTCCCTCGGAAATTTTGAATTTTCCGAGGGAATTAAATTCCGTCGGAAGCTATCCCTCGGAAATAAGCCTATTTCTAGTAGTGCTCGTCTTTGGTTGTGCTATAAATTTTAGCATGAGGAAGAGCGAGAGGAGTGTAAGGATCGTACCTCCCTACATAGGGGGTCCTATCTTTCTTCGGCTCAGGTGCCGAGGACGGTTCTGAGGCTTTCGCCTTCCCTTTCCTCGGCCCTTGGCCTTCGATCACCTGTCCTTTTGCTTTCCCAGCCCGGATTGGGACTGGGATTTTGTCTTGTTCCACTCTTCGGCTCGGATGTATTTATCCGAGGCGTCCAAAGCTTCCTCCAAGGTCTGCGGGGGATGCATGACCATGAAGTCAAGGAACTTGCCAGCTTGTAAGCCATTCCGCAGTGCAAATACGGCTAGGCCCTGATCCAAAATTGTGATTCTGGATGACTCGTTGCTGAAGCGAGTCAGATAGTCTCGGAGGCTTTCATCCTCCGCTTGCTGCAGACCCATCAGTTCTGCAGTCGTTCTCTCTCGACGATTTGCCGTAGAAAACTTGCTCTTGAATTTGTTGGAAAGATCTTTCCAACCGGTTATAGAGTCTTCTTTCACCCCCTTGGTGATCCATGCTTGTGCAACACCTTTAAGGGTCGTTGGAAAATACTTACACCAAGTAGCCTCAGACCTGGGGTTAAGGTACATGTGCCCCTCGTAAGAGGCAATGTGGTCCTTCGGGTTCGAAGTACCGTTGTAAGTGATGTGCGTCGGGATTTTCACCGTCAGCACATGCCCTTCCAATATCCAACTTTGGAAGGGCGAGCTGGTAAGGACCATAACGGCCTTCCCCTTTCGTCTAACCGTTGGGACCTCGCTTCTCCCTCTTAGAGAGGTGGAAGTGGTTTTTGTCCTCGGCTGAAACGATTCGGGGTAGGGCTCGGTTTCCTCCAGGTAAGTGAGGCGACTATGCACGCTCACCTCCCTTGAACCTAAACGTTCGTGAACGTTTAGGCGAGCAGGCTCTTGCCACGCAGAGGTGGAATTGCTGCTTTTGTAGCTCTTGGAGTCCCAGGTTTTGGAACTGTCAAAGAAATGGGGGTTCCTTTTTCGTTCCCGCTTGGTCCTCCATGTTTCCTCCTCATACTTGTCCCCAAGCTCCTTGAAGGAAGGAGCCCGTCCACTGTCCTCTTGACCAGTCCTCCTTCTTAGGTTTCTTAGCGGAAGAGGTGAGGGGTCACGAGGTGGTGGAACGTTGCCTGCTTGGGCCTTCAAGAAGTCCATGCAGACCGCTACGGCTTTCGCCACTTCCTCCGTAGAGGGCCCAGTTTGAGGGGTTGTTCTCGGCTGAGACTGAGAATGTGAGCTTCGCGGAGGAGGACTCCTCGTATTTGATTGATTTGGCCGAGACGAACTTGTCGGCTGGCGAGTATGATGGGACGGTGACTTCTCCGAGGCTTCCCTTTCCTGAGAAGAGGGAGCTTTTGAAGAAGGAGAAAAAGGTTCCGGTGATGATGGAATCGGTTGATTCACTCTCACCGTAATGTGGTCTCTCCTCGAAGAGGAATGACCATTCTTCTTAGCACTCTTGGCGCTTTTACCGCTCTTAGTCATGTTTCTACTAAGATGGGTTGGATTTTTTTGGCTTAATTTTTTGTATCTTCCCCACATACGGCACCAAATTGTTTCGGATGAAAATGATAAGACCTTTAGCAGGCCCTTTTCAAGGAAGAAGACTGATCTCAGTCCAAGTAGTGACTGGGGCGAGGATTTCCTGCATAGCAAGCACACGTAAACTAGCCTCGGGGGTGATTGCCGAGGAAGGCCTCTCCGATGCTAAAGTCAGTTCAGTGTATTGAGAGTAAATGCTATGCAAGAGGATTAATTGCTTGAGGTTGATTGTAAATGAATAATAAATGAGAAAATTGATGGGTTTTATACCTTTGCTTAATAGAGTAGGATTGGGCCCTTGAAGTCAGATGGACTTGCTATGCTGACTAGACTTGATTGACTTTAGCATGCTTTGGAGAGTTGAACCTTGGTTTTGGGCTTTTGTAATTAAATCATTTGGGTCGGCCCAATTAGGTCTGAATTGAACCCAAACAAATTCTACTCGTACCGTACGTGATCAAGTAGAAATAGATCAACTTTCCATTATAGCGTGAAGTAAGGTCAAGCTTCAATTTTAATATTCCATTATTCAGTCATAATTCAATTGTAAAGTTATCATTTCAATTGTAAAGTTATCATTTTAAGATAATGACTTTGAATACTGCTTCAATATGACCGAAATACCTACATAACGTGCAAATTAAACATGTTTGATTAATTGAAACAGTCAAATATAATAGGAATGAAAATATTTTTTTTAAAAAAGCAGTAAACACCTTTGCTTTTATTTCTTCTTTCTTTTATTTTTTTTGAAAGAATTTCTTCTTTCTTTTACTTTATGATTGTATATATCTATCGACTATCATGTCTAATATTTTCCGTCTCTCAATTAATTATCACATTCTCCTAATCTTTATAAGGGTACACATTTAAGGTACCTACCTCTACCACACTTTCTTACTATGTTAAATATACGAAATATAATTGTTTTCTCTTTTAGAAAATGCGATTAATTAGTTATTCTAGACACCTCTATACAAGCCTATTATTTCCGGGTGAATAGATTACTTTATAGATTCCCATAAAAAAGAGGAAAATAAAAATTGAGTGATAGTGAGAGAATTGAACAAAAATTGACCAGACTCTTACTATTGCATTATTCCAAACTTTCCAATCTTCCATATTTAGCTATATAATATATAATGTGACAATATATATTTTATAAAGTATGGTTGATATAATTTGTTGGGTTATCTTTGTAGAATTGAACTTTCTGATGTCCAAAGCACGTGATAATTTGTCAGCATTGAAATATGAGTGAAAGTGATTTATTTTGAGTGAGATTTGGGATGGAAATAGGGGTTGAATGTAAATCTAATGGCCTAAATTTATGGGGACCATTTTTAATTCATCATGAAAGTTAGAATTTGACTTCTCAAACTTATCGATCTCATGATATTACTTTCATATTTTCACACTTTTATTTGTGTTTATTTATAACTCCATGAGTTTTGTATTAATATTCTAAATTAATCTTGGTTTTATTATTCTTTCATGATTACTTAATTTGAAAGTTAATCATTTGTTACTTTTGTGAGTTAATTACTATTATTATTTTTAAAAAAAGTTATTTAAAGTGGTAGATTGATTAATTAAGATGTAAAACACACACACACAAATAAACCTACAATTTAAACCTTTGAGATGTTGTTTGATTAGTTCATGAGCTAGATTGAAAACTTATATTAGAAGCATAATTATTCTAGGTGATATTTCCCTCACCCCTAAGGCTATCACTTTTCAAGATTAATATGCTTTTATTAGTTGTATGCATCACGTAATTAATTAACTAGTTAAATGATAATTATGTATGTATGTCGGATTGCATGGTTAACAAAAAAACAAATATGGTTTGCCAATTCAACTTATTTTAATATGTTCTTAAAAAAAAACCCCTTATTTTAATATATTTCATATAAAATAAATCTGGAAAAAAATTACACGTAAATCCATCAAAATAAGAAAGTTTTTTAAGGAAAAAAAAATAAAATTCAAATAAAATAAATTTGGACAAGATAGATTCAAATATGCTTAATAAGTATAGATAAAAGAAAAAAAAAAATAAAATAAAATAAAAATAAAAATAAAAAAGTAGTTAAACTAACCACATCCTTTAAGGAGCAAGAGTGTTTCTTTCTTTGTATGTTGTTTGGAGTAATGGCTTGGATTTTGACGGGCAGACAAGCGAGAGTGCGAGACAACAAATATTTGCTTGCATTGATTGTACATAAAATATATTTCTGGGCTCCAACCATCATTTTAAGTTTTTGGTTGAGTTGGTCATTTAACATGGTATTATAGCCAACGTGTCACAAAGGTCACGGGTTTGAATCTCATCCACCCCTCATTTTCAAGTGGAATATTAAGCGCTGGGTATGAGGAGGACCCATGCTGCATCCACACTCTTGGGCCTCAACCATCAGCTTAAGTTTTTGGTTGAGTTAGTCCTTTAACATGCATAATCAAGCATACTTTATTGGTAGAGATGGCGGGGAATTCAACTTGTAACTTTAAGGTAACAAGTGCAACTCTCACCATCTACATTTGCTTCTCTACTTTTCAAGCATTATTGACCTAGCTAGATTGGCTAGTCTACGAGAGGTGTTGATTTAAAAGTATTTAAAATTACTTCTCTTTACCCCACATATACACACACCCAAATCCTTTTTTTTTATTAGGATATTATAGTATTCATGGTTAAATAAATTGCAAATTTAATCAAGGTTGATGAAATATTTAATAAAGGTTGATGAGAGAAGGGATGATTTATATAATTTATTTGGTGTAGTATAACTTAGTACAAAAGAAATATAAAGATAAAACTATAAATTTAAGAAATACTAATGAATTTGAAACATCCTAAATGACAAGTCAAACCAAATCCGACAGTTTGTCATCTGATTTGTTTCTCGATAAACATAATTGAATTCAACCTATCAAAACAATTTAACAATTGATGGTTGTCCTCCATTAAAAAAATAAATAAATAAATAAATAAATCCACATAGTTTAGTAGCACTAGCAGCCTTTGAGAATGCTTCATAATTTCGAAGTTGCCATCTTCAATTTGAAAGGAATCACCCATTATTCACATAGTAGCATACTAGCATAGACGATACTTCAACTTCCTCCAAACAAATAAAAAAAAAAAAAAAAAAAAAAAAAAACATATTCGAATAAAACTATCTAATACAATTAGACCCGATCCAGGATGTACAACCGGGGTGGACTTTACTTCCTTACTGGACTCGGCCTAATACAACATGTCCAACAATTTCGGCCCAAAACAAAACAAAAGAGCTCTGTAATTCCGTATTCATATTTCTCTCTCCTCCCTTCAATTCGCAATCAATCAGATTTCCCCCAAAAATTGAAAAAATGGGTCGACCTTCATCTGTAATCGAAATTCCGGAGCCCCGAAACCGCCGCTATTCGCCGGATTCCGACGATTCCAGAGAGCGTTACCGTCGCCGGAGAAGTCGCAGCCCTGTTTTCCGGCGTAGCCGAAGTCCTATCCGCCGTAGAAGCCGCAGTCCTGTACCCCGGAGAAGCAGAAGCCCTGTTTTCCGGCGAAGCCATAGTCCTGTTTACCGGAGAAGCCGTAGTCCTGTTCGCCGGAGAATCCGGAGTCCTGTGCTCCGGCGAAGTCCGGAGTATCGGGAATATAGGAGGGAGGATTACAGGAGAGAGAATAATGGTAGGGTTCCGGAAGAGGAATCGGATGAGGAATTGCGAGGGTTGAGTAAGGAGGAGTATCGGAGGTTGAAGAGGCAGAAATTGAGGAAATCGTTGAGGAATTTCTTCTGGAAGGTTACGCCTAGTCCTCCTCCCAATGAAAACGATGCGTTTTACGATCGCGAGGAGGAGGTTGAAGAGGAGAGAGAAAATGGTGATGTTGATGGTGGTTTGCAGAGAGAGAAGAGGAATTCTAGGTCTGCAAGTTCGGGTTCGGGCTCCGAATCGAGGAGTTCGAGTTCTGAATCGGAGGAATCGGATAGGGAGAGGAGGAGGAGGAGGAAGAGAGGGAAAGGGGTGAGTGAAGGTAAGAGGAAGAGGAAGGGTTCGAGTTCGAGGCGAAAGAGGAGTTGGAAATCTGATGATTCTGATAGTGATTCTGGTAGGGAAGAGAGTGAGGATGATTATTCAAGCAGTGAAGATGAGGGTAGGAAGGGAAGAAGGCGGAAATCGAAGTCGAAATCGAGGAGTAGTAGGAGGAAGAGGGGAAGGAGTAGCAAGAGGAGGAGGAGAGAGAGTGATTCTGAGAGTGAGAGTGAGAGTGAAAGTGGAGGCGAGGAGAGTGATGGAGGGAAGGCGAAATCGAAGAGGGGTAGCAAGAAGAAGAGGGGCACTAAGAAGAAGAGTGATGAGGGTAGTGGCAGTAGTGAATCAGAGAAAGAGGAGAAGATTGCATTGGATGATTCAAATTTGAATGAATCAAATCCTGAGGCATTGATGTTGAAAGAAATGTTAGAGTCGAAGAAGGCGGCGGCTTTGGTTAATGAGCCACCGGTGGGGCCACAGCCATTGCCGAAAGCTGAAGGGCATATTAGTTATGGAGGTGCACTTAGGCCTGGCGAAGGTGATGCCATTGCACAGTATGTTCAACAAGGGAAGCGTATCCCACGTCGTGGAGAAGTGGGGCTTTCGGCTGATGAGATATCGAAATTTGAGACACTTGGGTATGTGATGAGTGGTAGTAGACATCAAAGGATGAATGCCATCCGTATTAGGAAAGAAAACCAGGTTTATAGTGCAGAGGATAAGCGGGCTTTGGCTATGTTTAACTATGAAGAGAAGGCTAAACGTGAGTCTAAGGTTATGACTGATTTGAAGAGGCTTGTACAACGTACCATTGGCGAAGAAGTTGATCCTAACCATGATCCCTTTGGTCCCAAGGATGGCGAGGATGCTGAACCGTAATCTATGTGCTGTATGTTCCCTTGATTTCCATTGAAAGATTAGATTAAAGCTGTTGGTGATTTGCTTACTTGTAATTTGCTTTCCTTTTTAATTAGACCTTGATATTGGTTTCTATTGGACCTTGATTTTGCTGTTTATATTCAACCTGTAGTTGATTATGTACTAATATGATGTGCTATTATAATTGTTGCTAGTAGCATTAAAATTTTGCAGGATGTTAAATTCATTAGATTTGCAGAATGGTTGGGTTTTGTTTAGCTTCTTTTGCTGGTTTCGCAAGTAGGGCATCAAATCTTGATAAATTGAATAGGCTTGTCTATTACATAGTAATTCCATCGTGCTTCATCCTAGTCTTCTGAATTACGTGCTAAACAAATTTTTTTCGGTGTTGGTCTTCTGTTATGGCTAGTATAGTTCTTTTTATTGTATACAAAGCACGTATTCTATCACTTGGTTAGGTCTACTGGTTTGTCTTCCTTATTTGTTGTACTATGGAGTCATTATGAGATCAAATGGTAGAGGTTGCTGCTATCGCGGATCTTTATAATTGTCATTATTTATTGTGGAGGGTGTCAAGGTCTTAGTGCTTTGAGATGTAGTTATGGGTACTTATTGACTTATTGAGTAGGGGAGGTGAGAATGTTATTTTTAAGAACGAGATGGTGAAATAATGGAATGTTTGGAAATCACCAAAACGTTATTGGGAGATTAGAGAAAGCACTGTCGATGGACAGCTGTTGTACTGCAATGGAAAATCCCTAGAAAAATTAGAGGAAGATTAGAAATTTAGTATCAAAGATGGAAGACAAATCAATGTCTTTCTAATTTCTAGTGAAGACAAGCATTCATTGTGTTTATTATTTTGAATTAAAAGAAAAGGTGAACTTCTGTCTTTAACCATGTCAGGGCTTATAGTTTGGATTTGATTAAGGTTCTCTTAGCTAGAGTTTAAGAGCATATTTGTGAATAATTCTGGAATGCCTGAAATTGAGGTGGATGATTTAATGAACACATTTGCCCAGGTTTTTGTGTTTGTGATACAGAGATCTGCTTCTTTATGATTAACCAGCTCTAGATTTATAAGGTATGGAGAAACTCCAAATCATTAATGTGTTTACCGGATAACACTGCCCCAAAAAACCCAAAACCATACCCCTTATAACACTAAGTCCTTAAATTCCCTAAAATGCTTTTGTGATATATTTAGGACTTTAGGATAGCCTAATAAGCTATTGTGTTCCTTACTACAGCTCTAGGCCCCCTCCCCCCTCTTTTTTCTTTGTTGGGGGGAGGGGGGTGGGTGGGCAATAGCACTTGTTTGCATCTCTTGCATATGACTCAATTGATCTACTGCGGCAACTTGTTATGTTTCTGTACCTTAGAGGTGTGCACTTTGCTGTCGGAGATTTTTCTTGAATTCTTGTCCCTCCTATTATGTGTTGCTCATTCTGTGTCAACTTTCAAAATTGTTTGAAGACATGTGATAGCTTAATCTCTTTATTGATGTCAATTATTTTAGGTGAGACAACACTAGACTGTAGCAAATTGTGATTTGTGAGCACAAGCTTGAAGCTTGTTAAGTTTGGACATGCATATTTAGGAATTTAGTACGGTGGGGTTAGAGTGTGAGAGAAAGTTAATGGTGAGGTCCACATCATAGGGGTTGAGTGTAAAATCTATCCATTTAAGTAAAGGAAGAATATTTGTAGACATCCTGAAAAGGAATACAAGAAGATTATATGTGGACACTTGGACGGGGAGGGAGTATTAAATTAGGCTGATGTGGGCTATATGTGTTTCAATGGTTGTGTATGACAGCAAATTGTGTTACATGATCAAAGTTTTCTGATCTCTATGTAACTCTTTATTCTAAAGTTTTCTCAAACCTTTATGTTTTTTTTTACTCCAACGTTTTAACCACCCCTTTAAAATTTTCTTGAATTTTATTCTTGGTTCTCTTTTAAAACTCCCTTAATTTTCCTTGGATGCTCTTTCTTTTGCTCATTTTACTCACCTTTTTTTCAAACTCTTTCAAATGATTAACTTGTTATGCCCCTTTTTTTATTTCATACGCTTCCTTATGACGTTCATGTTAGCCGACCTTAAATAATTTTGGGACTAAGGCTTTGTTGTTGTTGTTGTTGTTGTTGTTGTTGTTGTTGTTGTTGTTGTTGTTGTTGTTGTTGTTGTTGTTGTTGTATGTAACTCTTTATACCTTTCTCCTGTGGAACATGGTTTCATAGTCAGTAATAGGTGTGTGACCATGTGATGCAATTTTGCAAGATAAATTGCTTAAAATTTCTGAGAGGATAGACCACATATCTTCTTTTCCCGGTTTGGCTAAATGCAAGTGGCATCAGAAGTTGGACTGTACTAATTTCTGGTGGCATTTGAATACCATGAAATCATCCTCAGACGACATATGAGGCAACTTAGCTTGGAGATATAGTCTCTGTCTATAATTTTGTCTTATTGACTTCAAGGTAATAGTTGGATGCATTGTAGCATTTTAGGTTTAAACTTTTGTCGCATTCTATTGTTAAGTAGGCATCCTTGCAGCAAAGACGGTGATTTGGTGATCAATACTGTCTGATGTTGGTTATAGTTGGAAATTGTAGTTCCTAAGCATGTAGAACTCATCTTTTTGTGCCAATCTCATGCTGATTTGAATATCACTGGTCCATCTATTATACTAAATCCGAACTGTGCAAAGTCAATTTAATAATATGAGTGCTCCAAATTTACTTATTTTGTTGATGTATGTCAAAATCCTAAAAAGTTTCATCGTCAAATTTTTGTATTAAGTTTTCTAACTAATTAATGATGTGTAAGTTCTAGCATCATTTCTATTTCTGTTGTCTGTGATTGCTCTGGTACAGATAGTGCGTGCTCACCCTCCTGCATGTTATTAACCGACCTAGGGCTATAATATGTTCTGCTTGTATGTCTGAAATGCTTGCACTTTAGCTGTCAGTTTGAGGTTTTTTGTCCTCAGTATTTGTTGAACGTTCTATCTCAATCATTGATGTCTGCGATATTATTTCAGACTTGATGGCGGTACTTCAGTGTGGCAAGTTTTGAATGCAAGCTTGAAGCTATAGGAATGGCTGATAAGGTGGGCTGTAAGGGTTCTACTGCTTGTGCAAAAGCAAATTTTGTATGGATCAAAGTTTTCTGATCTACTGTGGAATTCTTAATTTCCAAGAAGTGGTTTTCATAGGCAGCAGTAGTCGTATCAAAATATAAATGATCCCAGATATTCAATATACTTGTAGATTGCATAATGGAAATCTCTTACCTGAATGGAAGCTTTTTGGCTTTTAAGCATCAGAAACTTGGATCTGCAGAATACATTTGGGCATTTGAAGTGCCAGGAAAATTTCTATGACGACTTATGAGGTGACTACATTAAGAGATATAGTCTCAGTCCAAATGATGAAGACTTGTGTCAACTTTTAGTTTAACACTTGCGATAATGGTTGGTTGAAATGTTGTTAAGGATGTATTTTGCTGCAAAGATGGTGATTCATACTTTGATGTCAGATGAATTACTCTGTAGCTTCTTGTCTTGTGTATGTATAATTTTTGAGTATCTTTGTGTTCCAATTTGCCTTTCATTTGGAAACTTGACTTATTAGTTAATTACAACTTTACAAGTATATGTTCAGGACATTTATATGTTAAATGTAAAAGAACATTGGCGATACACAGCTGGTAAATGAATGCTGCAATGCTGCTCTATGTGACCCAGAATGATTCTTCCTGCTGCTACCTCTTCTTATGGTTCATTGGTTCGAGTAGTATGTGGAAATACCCCTCTTCTGGTTCATATTCGAGGTGAGGTGCTTGTTGGGTAGGGCTGGTCACCAGAAGCGAGGGGGGTGTGCTGTAGGTGGCAATGAGCTTGACCAACTACCACCTAATATATGGCTCTTGTGAAACCTATTAAGGTTTTCATTCAATTTCTTGTTCAATTTAATTTTTATTATCTAATAAGATGGTTAGATTAAATTGTCACATTACGAATCCTGCATCTAGGTAGATTATTACATTCTTATAATAATATTATATTATAGTAAAACATTCAATATTAAATTAGCAAATCTATTTATCAAATTCAATTATAATCCATACCTTCTAACAATATTTTTATTAAAAAAAAATAAAATCATGGACAACACGTGGCATGACATCGTCCCTTAATTGTGGTTTACATAATCACATCTTCATAATTTCCCTCCATTTCCAACGGTTACTCCATAATCATGCTCAAAATCTTCTTTAATCAACAATTAAATAAGCATTTCACCGAATAATACACTGCCCACTTCCTTCCAAATTCTCCATTTAACACACCAAAATAAAAAATAAATAAAATAAAAACACTCACAAATACTCCAACAAAACTCACCATCTCAACAGAATTTCCACATCTTATTATTATTTTTATTTTTTGGGATTGGATTAATTTTATTTATTGTTTTGCGGGTGGAGTTGCTAATGGCTTCCACCACCGCCGTCGCCGTCTCCGCTGCCGGCGCCGGCGCCTCACTGCTGGATTTTAATTCCGATTTGTGTTCAAAGCTCAAACCTTTTCTCTCTCCTCTCACTTGTTCGCCTACTTCCACATACAAACGTCGTCGTTTCATGTACTTCTTCTCCTTTTTCTCTCTCCTCCTCCACCCTTTTAATATTGCTTTATTTATTTGGTTTACTTTTCGTTATGGGATTATTAAATTTTTACTACTTGGAATTTTGTTGTTGATAATTTATTTATTTTTATTTATTTTTTGATAGAATTAGATGTTTATATGCAAATTGTTTGATGATATTTGTTGTTTTGAATAGTTTGTAATCTTTGTTATGTTGATTGGTGTTATATGCAAGATTCATTTTATGCCGTAGATTAATTTTTTAGCTCATGCATAAGACCGTCGCTTTAGGTACATCTGGGTGTATAATGAATATGGAGTATGTTTAAATATGGAGTATGTTTACAAGAAGAAATCTATTTGATACCCTTCTCAATTTCCTGGAAACAGTGATTACTCTGACAAATTTTCCAAAAGAAGAGAAATTTTATTTCTCTAATATACCCTTTTATGGTATTTGTGTTATTTAATTCTACCATCACAAATATTAAGTGTGATATCTTAGAAATTCTCAGCCATATAAAGGAGAATTTAAAATGGCCAATATTAGCATATATTAGTGGTGTTGTGCTTGGATTGCATAGTGTAGTTATAATATTTTAGGACAGTCAGTTTTAAGCATTGCAAGAAAGTAAGTAGGTAATTGATTGATAATTGATTGAAATGCATCGAGTATACTGTATATGCGTTGTTGCCCTTGGATGTAAAGAGTTTTTTATATGATCATATCTTAAATAAGTGGCGAATAGGAAATGTGGTTTTGACCTGTATTATAAAGGGTTTCAAATCAAGAATGTAATTAGTTTTATTAATGTGCTTATCAGAACTTGGTACATATTTATGGGATTCTAGCAACTTTATAAGGGGACTCTGCTTGATATGTAGATGCCAATCCACTAGTACTGAAAAACCAAAGTCAAGGAACGTTTTGGATAATGCAAGCAACTTATTGACAAATTTCTTAAGTGGAGGAAACCTAGGGTCTATGCCAACAGCTGAAGGAGCAGTCTCAGATTTGTTCGGTCGGCCTCTCTTTTTTTCTCTGTATGATTGGTTCTTAGAGGTACTTCCCTCATTGCATTATGATATGTTTTGTTTCATGCATCTAATAATGTGTATATACTTTGCTACTTGGATTTGCAAAGAGTTTGTCTAAAAAAACTTAATCTGACTATGGTGTGATACCGCAATGATAAGAATGCATGTGGATTTTGTGCTCTGAAAATCCTTTGCTAGGACTTACATGAATTGAAGGAATAAACCAATTGATACTAGAAGCTTTATTAGGTTTGTAAGTGTTTTAATCTCCTTGAGGTTCTTAGTGGTAGTACATAGACTAAAGGGTAAGGTTGGTCGCATGGTACATGTGAACACATGATTTTAAATAAATGCTTGGCGCTGTAATTTGGTTGGCCACATGGTACATGTGAACACATGATTTTAAATAAATGCTTGGCGCTGTAATTTGGTTGGTCAGTGTGAGGGCTAATATGAAATATTGGTAAGGATCTTGTGATTGCTCGTTGAGATTGATTTTCATTTTGATTGTACAAATCTTTGTACTATTATACTTACTCTCTTATGCTCGTTTCTTCATGTGTGTTATTTAACCATGCAGCATGGATCTGTATATAAACTTGCTTTCGGACCAAAAGCCTTTGTCGTCGTGTCAGATCCTATTGTGGCAAGGCATATTCTTAGAGAGAATGCATTTTCTTATGACAAGGTAAATAAGGCTTCGTGTCCTTGACCCTTTAATATTTGCATTGTGTTCATGCAGCTAGGATTAGATTTGTTGCAAGAATGGGTTTGAGTCTTCTTAAGCAGATTGTAGAATGGATCTTAACTGTATGTCTTTTGACGTACAACTTCAAATATGTCTCTGTATAGGTGATCAAGCAACCCACATAAGAATGTGGTTTAGCAATTTGCTGCTTCCAGTTAACAACCTTGAATTATAGTTTGATTGCTTATTTAATGTGTTTCTCATCACCTTTCCTCTCAAAAATTCTTTGCTTATTGACCGTGTCTGGAACAAAGATGTATGCTAATTAATATACAGAATTACAACTCTGGAAGCAAGAATTGATATTGTAGAAAATTAGATTTTGGAATCATTACAGACATGATTTTGGAATCATTACAGACATGAGAAACTATAAAGGGAAGCAATCATGAAACAATTCTGAGCTTTACAGTTCTGTCTTATAACAAGAACTGAACACTTCAATGACTCAAACCAATTTGTCATTATCATTCTTGACTGAAACAGTTCTGGCAAAGTGTATAGTTCTTTGCCTTTGACATAAAGAAGAAAAATTTGTGAATGAAAAATATATACTCCTGAAGCAGGGTCATAAGAAAGTTAATAGCAGGAAATTCTGCATTCAGTTTCTTAATTTGGACATCCAAGATTAGCTTTGGTATGGTGGAGGAAGTGAAAATTATACTAAAATTTCAGTTTTGATCCAAGTCTACTAGTTTTGTTATCTACCACATGCTCTTGTAATTTGTATCTTTATACTTTATATATGAAGAGGTAAATTCTATCATTATAGAATGACCATTGAATTTATGAGGATGTCTATTTGTTTGCTTCTGTAGTTCACCTGAGATGGATGTATAACCACGCGCCTGATTTTTTTTTTTTCTTTTATTTCCTGCTTCTGGATTTGCTGTGATTGATATGAAACTTGAAAGAAGTTCCATTAGATTAGTGATAATAAAAGTATTTAACTCATTGACTTTGTCTTTCTGATTCCTTTGCTTTAACCCCAACTATCCATAGGGAGTTCTTGCTGAAATTCTTGAACCAATAATGGGTAAAGGATTAATACCTGCCGACCTTGATACTTGGAAGCAAAGAAGAAGAGGCAAGCATTCAACTTTTATCTCTCTTAATTTTCATCATCATATTACATTCAGGCCTTTGGGTCTTATGTGTTCCGTAGCATGATTAGCATCTATGGTTTGAATGGTAAATGTAGACCTTGGTTGATTTGTATAATTGTGTGGCAGTCATAGAAACTTCGTATAGATTCATATTAATCTTTCAGCAGCTATTGGTAATTGATACTGAGGTTTCATTTATGGCCTTGATAGCATAGGTAAACCTGCTCTGCTATTACCTTCATTAGTCTGGCAATGTAGAGTTTTAGACTTTTCATTACTGTTTAAGGTTTTCGGAATTTCAGGCCATGTGATATTGTGATTCTTGAAAAAAATTGCCTTGGCATTTAGGTATGTGCGTGTGTGGGCACTTTTAAGATAATCGTTTTGAATGGCATGTATGCAATTAAATATTTGGAGATTTCTCATGCGATAGAAATATTCTGCCACATACATAATAATAATAGGAGATCAATAGCCTCAGACTTGTATAGTTATTGATGCCTGTTTGCATAGTAATATTTTAATGGAAATGCAGCAATAGTATTGTAACACCCCTTTTAAGTGGGGCTGAATTGTCCATTTAACAAAAAGTTGAAAAAACTTTTTAGGGAACAAGAAGCGGCTATATTCATTTTATACTTAACTACCATGCCCAAGTGAGTAATGGTGTAGATAAAGGCACCATGTAATACCTTTGCCCGACTTTTATCTGCTGGAGTCACAATGAGTAGCTTGCTCGGTTTAAACTTATGTTCAGAAAAACATATTTTAATGACTTATAGTTGTTCTGCATCTTCTTTCCTTTTAAGTTTGTTTCATGTGCCATCAACTAGCATTATTAGCAAATTCAGTGCATAAGACTGCCTGATTTAGCTTTTAGTTGTTGTCTTAGGTTATTTACAAGAATTTAGGTGGTTTTGATATTATTGGCATATTTCTGAAACAAATTCTACATACCTCTTCATTTCATTTTTTTTTCCCATTGTGTTGAAAAATTGAATTAGTAAGTGACAGATAATATTGAATGTACAAATTTGGCTGAATGATCGAATAATATTAAATGAGGGATTAAGGCTTTGTTGTTGTTGTTGATTGAATAAATATGAAATGACAGGAGTAATTACACTTATAACAATTCTTAAAAGACACTTATGTTTTCAATTTTGAGTTCAGGATGGATGTTGACATGTAATATATATTTATGCAATTTGGATAAAAAAAATGTATACGAACTTTGTTCTTTGTGATTCAATGCATTCTCTTATCCTTATGACCTCTCTAATGAACTATAAGTGGAAAGATTGGGAAGAACCTCTGGTGGTCGTTTGTATAAGTATAGTACTACGTATAATTTTGTGATCGATCTCTTCAAAGTTTGCTTTTAACATTTTGCAGTCATTGCTCCTGGGTTTCATGCCTTATACCTGGAAGCCATGGTTAAGGTTTTCACTGACTGCTCTGAGAGAACAACATTGAAATTTGAAAAATTGCTTGAAGATGTACAAGCGCAGGATACAATTGAGCTGGATCTTGAAGCAGAATTTTCAAGTTTGGCACTTGATATTATTGGACTTGGTGTCTTCAACTATGACTTCGGTTCAATTTCCAAAGAGCCTCCAGTAATAAAGGTTTGTAATGCTTTTAATTGCTTTAGGCCCCGTTTGGTTTGATGTATAACACTTTCAATGAAAAATTGGTTTTCATGGAAAACATATTTTCAAGGAAATCTACAATTGCAAATTAGTTTTCCTTTGTTTGATTCCATCAAGAAATTTTTTAGAGAAATTAAAAATAGGGGTGGAAATGTGAAGATAGAGGAGAGGAAAGTAAAAAAGGAGGTAAGTAGAAGGGAAGGAAAATGTGGCTTCCCTTGTTTTATAAAGGAATTGTTTTCCACCATAAAGGATATAATTTTCCACCATTGGGAAAATTGTTCTCCACCACTTCACAAACCAAACGAAGGAAAATGAGAAAAAAAAATGGGAAAATCATTTACCATAAAAACATTTTGCATCAAACCAAACGGGGCCTTAATTGATAAAGCAGTCTTGGCTGCAACTGCATTGATGTTTATCTGAAACTAAGCTAAGAGGGTGTTTCATGTATGCTTGACATTGGTGTGGCATATGATATTGTCTCTTTGAATTATCTGTTGTGTTCTGGAGAGAAGACACAGTAAATTTGGTTCAGAGTCTCTACTGTGCCTGGTTAATCTTGGAAACTGGAGAATCTTTAAGTTTTTGTGGCTATCACTAGAGGTTCCAATATGATATCGACAGTTTAAAGGTTAAGTGGATGATTCCAACCACCTAAATGACCTCACGGGGTGTCGTAGGGTCCATGCAAAGAACCCTGACCACTTTTTTTTTTCCAAGTTTAAAAAGTCCAAAATTGTTCAAAACTGAAGGCTATTGTTTACACCTTAGGATCAATATTAGAGATTTTGGGACCCGGTGGGATTGTAAGGGATGCATATCGGGGTCATATAATATTGTTTGGATCCATATATGACCACTAGTTGGTCATATAAAGTCCCATGGTAGCCTTAATTTAATGAAGGGGGCATAAGTTGTAAACGGATAAATCGACAGTTTAAAGGAAAAATGGACTGTTGCAACCATCCAAATGAACTCCCGAGGTGTCTTGGGATCTATGGGAAGCACCCCGATTGGTTTCCTTTCCAGGCCTAAAGAAGTCAAAATATGTTATAACTTTAAGCAATCCACGCTTTCAAGTCATATAAGTTGGTTTGGAACCATAAGAGGCCTATCAATAAGTCTATAAAGTCCCAAAAATGAGTTTGGTTCAATTACGCGGCTATTTTAGGATTATGTTGCATTGGCAGTGAAAAGTTGCAAGAGATGGTTCTAATAATAATGTACATGGCCTCCCGGGGTTCTATTAAAATCTATGGAGTCCTTCATCTTCTTTGGTGCTGTTGATTATTCCCAAATTCATTACTTACCATAACATTCCATCATGATGTTGATTTAATATTATATCGTAACATTATTGGAATCGAAGCCTTCTAATCTCAAGATGGAAAGTATATAACTGCATGGTCAACATCCCTTTTATCTCAATAACATGAATATTATATACACATGTTATATAACTATAATATTGGAAGCCTTTTTATTATAGATACTAAATATTATATACGTATGTTATACTATAAATTGATTGATTTCAGATTGATTTCGATGATCAAATTTTGTTAATCTTAACCTCTTTTAAAATTGTAGAAACAATAAAGTTCGGCTATTCTCTCCCTATATTGATTCCGCTTTTCTCTCCCTATGTAGGTTATAATGATACGCGAAGAGAGAATAAATTTTCTTTTTGGATGTTTTGACTTCATGTGAACCAGACTGACTTTCAGCATGTTTACCCCAGGCAGTCTACGGGACACTTTTTGAAGCAGAGCATAGATCAACTTTCTACATTCCTTACTGGAAGTTTGAAAGTTTCCTCTTGCAAGTTGGATAGTACCAAGGCAGCGGAAGTTCCAATATGACCTAAAGGTCATCAATGACTGTCTTGATGGACTCATAAAAAATGCCAAAGAGACTAGACAGGTAAAAACGAAGCTGCAGATTAAAAGTGCTTTTTTGTCAAATCCTTAATTTCCTGGCTCTTCTATATTTTTTCCTTTTTTTTTTGTTTTTTTTTAATTTTTTTTTTTTAATTACTTTGATATAGAAGGTGAAATTTAATAATCCATCTAAAATTCTGCAAGAGAATGAAACACTTCTGCAGTTCTGCTTTGTGATGTAGGCTGTTTGGGATAAATGCTTCTGCTGTTTGCCTGCTTTAATGTAACCTGCAGTCAGGCATTATATATGATATCTGTGAATAAATTAAACATACTCACCCATGACATTGGGATTGTTTGGTGTGGCAGGAGACGGATGTTGAGAAACTGCAGCAAAGGGATTATTCAAATCTTAAGGTGGGTCGAATGGTGTAAGTTAGATTACACGAATTTTGTTTTCTTGTCGATTTAATGTGCTTTGAATTGTGAACTATATTTGTTCTCTACAAGATTTAAAATGAAAACTAAAATTGGCAGGATGCTAGTCTTTTGCGCTTCTTTGTTGACATGCGAGGTGCTGATGTTGATGATCGCCAGGTAATTTTAAAGCTTGATTATTTTTTGTTTCTTAATTTCTCAATTTTTAAAATTTGAATCAATCCAAGGCCCATGCATTTATGCAACCCAAGTTCATTTAGGTGGTTCACATTTCAAACAGGCATGTGACATGTATGTCTGTGCATTGAATGTGCTTTTTTTTTTTTTTAACTGCTGATAGCTTAGATTCAATATCATCTGTTATTCTTAGGATCCTACAAATATTTAGTTTTGGAAAGTAGGTTTGAGGAATCCTTCAGCATATGTTTGCTTTATCTGTTTGACAGCTTACGGATGACCTGATGACAATGCTAATCGCTGGACATGAAACTACAGCTGCTGTTCTTACTTGGTCTATTTTCCTTCTTTCTCAGGTATGATTAACCTATATAATCTTCCATAGGCAAAAAAAATTTGACACTGGATCCTAGTCTTGTTTTTGTCCCTTTTCTTTGCCATTGGTGCTGGTCTTAATTTTGCTTTTGGTGCAGAATCCTTCCAAAATGAAGAAGGCTCAAGCTGAAATAGATGCAGTATTAGGCAAGGGAAGAGTAACCTTTGACTCACTTAAAAAATTGGAGTATGTACCAAGTCACCCTCTTATACGCTTACGTCAATGATATTGCTATGGGATAAATAAGTGCTGAAGAAAAATAGGTTTCAATTGTGACATTAAAGTTGTCCCACCTGGGTAATTGGAAACTTGATGCAATTTACTGTGTTCTATGATATCAGGTACATTAGACTTATAGTTGTAGAATCTCTTCGGTTGTATCCTCAACCTCCTTTGCTCATCAGACGATATCTCAAACCAGATACATTACCAGGTACTTCTGTTAAGTGCTCATATGAAAAGTGAAGTAGCTAGCTCCCAAAATTTTACTTTCCCCAATTCGTGTCACTAATGAGATATAGGTTGTAGTGTCCAGTACATATTATGTATTATTAAATATACTAGTGAAGTATAATCTTCTAGCCACTACTCATAACATTACCTGCTACTGATAATCACACTTAGTAAAAGCATGTAATTTACCCTGCTATGGGAATGTGGCTTACATGATTATCGCCCCAGGACCTAGAGTATCTCTTTGAAAAGAAGCTAAGAAAGGCCTCATATTTATCGAATTTGGCTGTACTGAAATCAATTTCTGATTGTGCAGGAGGCTACAAGGGTCAAAAAGATGGATACAAGATTCCCATTGGGACTGATATCTTTATTTCTGTGAGTGGGTCAACTTATCCTCATAATATATGTGAAATATGAAATGTCTTTACATGGAAGTTTCCGTAGCTTAAAACCTTTTGAAGTCTCCATAGCTGGTATGAAGTCAATCGTTACTAGTCAATCATATGCTATAATGGCTAGTCCTCTACAAATGTAGGTTAGGCTTTACCCACATCAATACTTCTTTACCTGATCATATTAGTGGCTGCCCGTCTTTAGCACAGCAGACTTTTACTCCCTTCGTCAAGGGTTACGTAACTTACATATACTACTTAGATGTCTCACAAAGTACCTGCCCAAATTTTCTCAGTACCTTTCACTCTCTATCTCTACTCCATTTCTCAATGAAACTTTACTAGTAAAATATGTTAAGGGACCTGATGAATTTAAACTTAACCTAAAGATATTAACCACATATGCATAAAAACTTTCCGTGTAGGTATATAATCTTCATAGATCTCCATATTTCTGGGATAAACCTGATGAATTTGAACCAGAGAGATTTTTAGTCCAGAGAAAAAGTGAGGATATAGAAGGATGGAATGGCTTTGATCCATCTCGGAGTCCTGGAGCTCTGTATCCTAATGAGGTAACTTGATGTTGCTGGATCGTCAAATCCATTCATTTTTCTCTAGAGCATCACTAATTAATCGTTTGCACTTGCAAATATTAGATTGTAGCAGATTTTGCGTTCTTGCCTTTTGGTGGTGGACCGAGAAAGTGTGTGGGAGACCAGTTTGCTCTAATGGAATCTACAATTGCTTTGGCCGTGTTGCTTCAGAAGTTTGATGTTGAATTGAAAGGTTCGCCAGATGCAGTGGAACTTGTGACAGGGGCAACAATTCACACCAAGAATGGACTTTGGTGCAAACTGAGAAAGAGAGCTAATGTACAATAAATTTCGAGTAACGGCTCAAATAATGCAACTTGCACCTTCTAGTGAGACATTTTGTAAAAATAGTGTACATCATAGTCTTGCTATTTACTATCATAAGTTCATGGATTTTGTTGCTGGAAATCGAAAATGAAATAGCATACTGGCCTGCTATAGTGTGTTCATCTTATAAATCGCAACATTCCAGCACTTTCAGATCATGGCACTACCTTCATTAGTATACATGCGTACATGCTCTTCTAGCTTATGACAACATGGATTCATGTCAATAACACCCCCACACGGTAAAATATGGTATAATACAGCCTATATAGGAAGATATTTTACTATCCAACACAATGCCTTGTAATTATTACTCTCTCCGTTTCATAATGTTATTCTCATTTACGTATATTGATATAAATATTTGATCGCAAATATCTCTAATCCCACACTACCAAAATTTATATTAGATATCAATAATGTATTCATTGAGAAGAATAAAAATAAATTATATTTGACTATGTTTGTTCTTATATATAGAGAGAAATTTAGAAGATTCTCTCTAATTTTTAATATTCAAAAGATTTTAAATAGGACTAATATTATGAAACGGAGGTAGTATTATAGAAGAAGCAATATCCAAATCAAAATTCATAGAACAAAGTTGTTTACGAGTTAATTTGTAACAGTTTGCACAATAGAACTATTTATCAAATGAGCAGCGTAATAATTCATCACAATACATAAAAGAATTCATGTGATAAGAAGAGAGTTAGAATGAATCATTGTTCAAATAAAGTATGTTGCATTTCACAAATAAAATATTAAAATATTTTATACCTTACCCATATAATTAATAAATTTTGAGAAACAGTTAATAGTTAAAATAAAATAATAATAAAACGGAAAAAGACTAGATTATATAATGTTTATAGCTTTATCAACCAGGGTGGAGATACAATCAAATAATTTTCTTTGATAAAACGAGTTCCATAACTAAACATTTCAAAAATAAACTTTCCGTGAATAAACCTTTTAAAATAGAAATTTTAACATTTCTAATAGCACATTTTTCATAAATTTTCTAAAAAAATATAATACATTAGCTTGAAAATCAAGTAATCTCATAATATACCAAGCAAGATTTTTCATCCGTTGGGGCTTACTATTGGAGTGTCGCTAATGGGTCTGGTCCAAAGGTTACGGAAATACACATAAAATTTCTGTAATTTTTTTTTTTGTAAATCCGTTAATTTCAGCTAGTATGAAATTGGTATATCTTGATTCTATGCATATGTTGAATTAGAAATCGAACGCATTTTTTAAATTTTGAATGTGGAAATGTGATAGTCACAAAATACTCTCTCATACCAGTAAATTTAACCCTTTGAAACTACACAGAGTGACTTTATTCCCTTTGCTATCTTGACCTATTCTTTGGTATACTGTACGTCATCCACTTATTCTTATTCTACCAACTATCAGTGACGAATCAAACTTTTTTTTACAAAGTAGGTACAAACTAAAAAAAAGTACATTTAGAGTGGAGAGATAGGAAGGAAAATAAAATAGGGCTCGTGCGGTAAATAGGTATAGAAAGAATTTATTAGTTAAAAAAAGTGATGCAACTAAAACATCCATTTTAGGAAAGAGATTAGAGAAAGATAAGAGGTCAATGAATTAAATGATGAATGTGATTTTAAATGTCCATTTTAGGAAGGTGAAGATGAGAAGATTAAAAACATTCAATTTGTTGAATTCAATTAGAGGTTACAACATATAAAGAATTATTGAGAAATAAAGAGAGGTGTTGGAGAAGTTTTATGTAAATATAAGGAAAAAGAATGAAACTTATAGAGAAAAGTAACAAGGGAAGAGGGCATGTGACATCTCCAATTTGTGATTTTAAATAGTAAGGAGAGATATAGATTAACAAATTACATGAAACTTTATAATTAATAAATTACGTGAAAATATATATATATATATATGTATATGAATATTGCACAGTATTGATCATTGATAAATTACTTATAATTTTCATATTATCTTTTTATTAAATAATTCATGTTAAATAAATCAAGTAACATTCTTTGCCCTTATTTGTGTTGGATAATGAAGGTATTATTTCATCACCTTGCAATTGTTTGCGGAGATAAAGAATGGTAGTTCAATATCTTTGTTCTAGGGATGAGAAAGTTGGTAGGCACTCTACGCAAGGATATGGGTTAACGCTTAAGTGAAGAAGTTTACGATCATATATGCATTATAGAGGTACAAAATTGCCTAATCTTTATGATGTAAAATCTGCAAATTGCATGCTAAAATCAAATATTGGTAAAAACAATTACTTTGAATTTAGTTTCGCCTTAATACTACCCAATCACGGGTTTTGTAGAACATAGAAGAGTTGCATGTACTTGATGAGTCACTTGTATAAGTTTTCGTGGAATATATCTTACTACATAGTTCTCATTTCAGGAAATTATCACTTTTGGTTCATTCACACCCCTATACTCGTGTTTTAAAAGATGACTACCTTTGAAATTAGTTTCCTCATTCTAATATCACTTTCTATTCCGCATTATTTGGGCGATTATTTTTTTATTGTAATCTTTCGTCACTAACCACATGTACGGGATTAACAATGTTGCTTACTCCGTAATTTAATAACTTTGGACGAAGAAAGTACAATATTTTTCTACAAAAGACAACCGTATAAAATAAGTTGAGTCTATTAAAACCAAGTTTTCAATAATAAAATAAAAATCTAAATTTTCTTTTTTTTATGTCAAAAATTACTATTTGGTTGATGGGTTTGGCAAAACTAATTAAGAAATTAATTTTCATTAAGTTATGTTTGGTCTTTTTTAAATGAACATGTGTATATACGCGGATCACAAACAACATACAAATTAAATATACAATTGATACGGTAATTGTCAAACAATATACTATTTAAATTTTCTTTTAATACCAAAGTTTAGATTACATTAATTATTTGATAATTACTAAATTAACATTAAACTTATGCGACTCCAAAAAAAAAAGTGCATAATCTTTATTTAGTACGAGTAATTGCCAAAAATTTATATTATTTTTATCCTGCACGATGTACAGTCGTTTTTACTAATAACCACTTACTATTAAAACAGACATAAAAAAATGACATGTTTTGATTTTTACTTTGTATATTTTTCTTTTTATATTTATTTTAGCTATTTTCTAGGAAAGTTTCTATTATGTATGGTTAGAATCTAGTTTTTTCTTATTATTTCTTTTGTGATTGTTTCAACTATAATATTGCTCTATAATTAAATTTGACTAATTAAAAAGGGAACAAAGGGAATATATGACTAATTAAATTTCACTAAGCTATTTGATTTCCTAAAAATTACATTTATTTTTTCTGAGTGGTTTAACTCTAAGATTGTTATAATTCTTTTGTAATACCGTATGAGCCAGCCCCTATTGACTTACTCCCTCCGTTTCGCATTAGTTGTAACACTTTTTATTTTTGGCCATTTCATATTAGTTGTAACACTACTATATTTTGAAAAGACCCACCATTATTTTATAATATCTCTCTTCCACTAACCCCACTTTCACAAATATTTTATTATTTCTCTTTCCTACCGGTCCCACCCACACTACTTTTTTTTATTATTATTTGTATCTTTACTGATGCAACTAATGCGAAACGGAGGGAGTATCGTTTAGTGAATCGCTAAACATCGCCCGCAAATTACCATATAAAGCCCACAAATATGACTTGGTGTGACCATTATGCCCATTTTCTAAAATTGAAGAAATCTCGGTTTAAAAAATGTGGAGCCGTACTGGCTCGCCGGGGGAGACCGGAGGGCAGGCCGGAGATGCGGGGGACGCCGGAGGTACGTCGTCGTCGACAGAAAACGAGGTAAGTCACCGTTAAAATTCACGGTTTACCGTCGGAGTGGCTTCGGCGCCTAGGATGGACGCTCAAACCGTAGCCTGGACGTCCAAGCCAGACGCCAGAACCACCACAGTGGCGTCCAGCCCAGACGCCCAAACCACCAGACTGGCGTCCTGGCCAGGCGCCACTCTACTGGCTGAGGCGGCCCTGCCAGGCGCCAGTCCAGTGGATGTGGCAGCCCTGGCAGACGCCACCTTTGTATTTTTATTTTTTTTAAAAAAAAAAAAGAAAATCGAAAATGATTTTTTTTAAAAATTCGAAATGGGTTTTTTTTAATTAATTTTGAAAATTCGAAACAGGTTTTTTTAAAATTAAGTTTGAAAATTCGAAATGGTATATTTTTAAATTTAGTTTGAAAATTCGAATTGGGTTTTTATAAAAAAATAAGTTTGATTGTTGAGAAAGGTTTTTTTCTAAAATTAAGTTTGACAATTCGAAATTGTATTAAAAAAAAAATTGGAAATTGTTTATGTGACTTTTATAAATGATTGTGTTTAAAATTTGTATGTGTATGTGTATGAATAATATTATACATAATTATGCTTTTTTTTTTTTTGTTAATTCTGTGTAAATATAGAAATTAAATGTATTATCCGTTAAATGTATTTATTATAATATATAATTGATGCAGGATTATGGTGGAGACGGAAATGATTACAGTGGGATATTTGGACATGATGGTCCATTCGAAGAAGCTCAACAGGCGGTTGATTGGGCAAAACAGATTGCAATTGCAGCTGGATTTTGCTTGGTAGTAGTAACTCATAAATCTCAACGGGATGGTAGAATGGATCGCATTTTGAGATGTGACCGTTATCGCAAAAGAGAAGAAAGAGATTTTCGTACAGCCACTCGGTTTGATACAAAGCGGAAAGGTTGTGGGTGTGAGTTCAGAGTAAAGGTTCGACAACTACGGAGTCGTGACGGTTGGGAAGTGATTGGTTACTCTAAATGGGGGTATCACAACCATGAGATGATAGTATATGAAGAGGGTCATCGACAGCTGAGCGGCTTAAGTCCTGCTGCGAAACTAGTTGTGAAAGAAATGAGTGATGCTCAAGTCAAGCCTGCTAAAATATTAGCATCTGTGTTAGAGAAATTTCCAGAAGACCATCCAAACCGAAGACACATCTACAACGTCAGACAGCAACTCAGGTTTGAACGGTCAGAGGGAAGGAACCCTATACAGCAGCTGCTACACCAGGCACAATCACGTGGTTACCTGTTCTGGTTTGATTCTGATGAAGATACAGCGGAGGTGAC